TGCATACATGTGCATCTTCATAAATTAGAAAATCACATAGAATTCATTTATTTTTATATTTCAATTCAGGAAGTGAAGCTTATGTAGATTCATTTCACACTGAGTTATATATTTCAGATTATGGGTATAGCTAATAAAAACTAAAAACTGTTAGATTAAAAAAATATTTTTAATAATGATGTTATTTTATGGTCGTTTTTTCATCGTTTTATGGTCGTTTTATAAGGGAGAAGACCATTAAGTTGCTAAAGACAGTAGGTGCTCACAGTCTGCTGCAGACAAATAAACTGAACGTTTTGTGTTGATAAGTTGTCCAAAGTCCTTTTAGATATTAATGTAAAGAAGAAGATAAAATTTGAAGAAGAAACACAGAATACCAGTTACCCAGTTTGAAGTCTCCATATAAGTTTTACTTTTTTAATGTAGAAATTATGTGAAAATGTTTTTTTTTTTCTTTCTTTTTAAGATTCATTTGCCTCTGACATCTCCTTATGGTGACCCAAAATTATTTCACTGCCAAAACAGGAAATTTCTACCCAAACTCTCTGCATGATGGGAATCTTGAGAGATTCTTCTTCCTTCTGGCCTCATTGATGACTATAAATACTCTTCTGTTCTGGAGATTATCATACAGGTACCCAATTATCTTTATAATATAGGATGAATTACTATCATGTCAACTCATTTGAAGGCAAACTACAGCCAACTTTGGTGCTTCTGAATCCATCTCTTCTTGTTGCCATTTAGGTACATGAACCTGAGTGTTCAGGGGAAACCACTGAGCAGCAGCTCTCTGTCTGAGAAGTTGCTGCAATACAAGGCCGCACTGCGGTTCTACGACACTGTAGAACATCTCTCTACTGACTCCGTTTTATGACTGCTTCAACTGAGGTCCCCTGTCAATGGCGCTGCGTATTTGTGTTTCCATAAACTGCAACAATGACATGCTGTGTAGAGTAAGATCTATAGATACAAGTCCCAAAGTCTCTAAAAATTTGGTGTTTTTTATAGAAATTGATAATTTTATTAAATAGTTGTTTGAGCTAGAATTGATGCTCAAATTCAAAAAAACATTAACATATGACGACAAATGAGAAATTAATAATAATCCAAAGGTATGTTTTGTTGAAGCTTATAATGTGAGTCAATCAAATTTGCAGACATCACAAGCAGTGTTAAAAATTAGGATTGAGTTTTGTAAAATAGAGATAATCTGATTAAATGTGCACAAAATCTTAAAAAAAACAGCCTATTAATGAGCAACAGTCATTTTAATATAAAGTGATTGCAACAATTAATAGACTTGTACTTTAAAAACTACAACACCTAGACATTTCAAATCTAGCTAGATTATTCTGCACAATTAGCAGAATAAATAAAACTTTTGTGAAACCTTCTAATTGATTTGCAAAATTTGTAAAATATCAATAAAGAATTTCAGAACGTTTTTTTTTTTTTGCATCTGTAACCCATTAGATCTGAATGATCAAATTGGCATTGTTTGTTTTATCTTTATTATAGCTGGAGTTGGACAGGAATTGTTTGGTGGCTTCCTGGACGGAGGAATCGGCTGAGCTAACGCTGCCATCAACTTTTCTCCTGCCATTTTTTTTTTTTTGCTGTTCTTTAGAAAGTATTTCTATCCGTAGCTCTGTTTCCATTTTGTATATTTTCTCTATTTTTTATTTTAACCTTAATGCTTACCTGGTCAGTTGAGGTGGCAATGTACATCCTCTTGATTACTGACAAAATGTCAGAACCACATGGACTGAGCTGGTTACGTCAGATCAGTCTGAATTTTTATTTCCCATTAAAACGACTTCTTGTAATTTTAAGACATTGTTATAAAATTGCATCTTTATTCTGCTGTAATGATGACTGAATTCTTGTAATTAGAAATTCTTGTAGCCTGGCCATAATGCTCCCTTATACAACTCACAGAAGAGATGATTGAAATAAAGGCACTTTTTAAAAATATTTTCTGTAATTTTATTATAGAAATTGAGGAGGGGAGGAATCAATTAAAATCAAATCTGGAATGAAAAAAATCTTGTAAGTCATATCATCCATCCTTATTCAGTATATTGAATTATATGACTAACTGCATATTGATAGTCACAGCAAATATCAGTAATATCTCACTTGAATTCCTGATCTACATGCAATGTACAACGTTTTAGCACTTCTGCATTTTTTAGCCACATAGAATGCTTCCGGTTCGCAGGTCACTCTGTGTTAGGGATGGAGTTTTTCACTCGGTCCTTGCTGGATTTGCCCAAAGTAAACGTGAACGACGTTTATCGGATTATTGAAGCAGCTTCAACAACTCCGACGTCGAAAAAGGACAAGGGTTTTAAGCTGTATGTGTGCAGTTTCATAAAGGACTTCCAAGGTAAGTGATTGTTTTAAGTTCTCCGAAATGCCTGTATATGTGTGTAACACAGCTAAGCTAGCCAGTCTCCCGTAAGTGCTTTGTAAATGTTACGTGTTGGTGCGATGGCATTTATTTACCCCAATGTTACCCCTAATTTTTCTTTTGGGGGACCCTGCCTATCCACTACTGCCTTATTTAATGAAAGAATATTCAAATGGTGGCGTAACTCAACAAGAACAATATTTCGGACTATGTCTCTGCAAAGCGCGCGTGGTAATTGAATGCGCATTTGGACGGCTAAAGGGTAGATTTGCCTGCCTGAGGCGACCCATGGACATAAACATTCATGATCTGCCGCATGTCATATATGCTTGTTTTGTGCTTCACAGTTACTGTGAATCTTGCAAAGAAGGTGTGGATGAGCACCATGTTAGTGGCGTCATACAGGGTGACCATCAAGACCAGCCTCCAACAGAGAGCAACAACTATCAAACACTAATCAAAATGCTGGGAAACTAGTTTGAAGAGTTGTCACCAAATACCTGGATCCTTAAAGCTTACCTGATTAACAGCTGTTTTAGATAACACTTTTGTACTCTAGGGTAAATATTACAGACTGTTAGACTGCTTACTGTCTTATGCTTTCTTGAAACTTGTCTTTATTAGATTTGTGATATCAGTTTATTTGTTGTTTAGATCATTTTTTTAAATTTTCAGAAATACATAAAATACATCTGTAAATATTTGTGACTGATTATTTCTTCATTTCAATTTAGATTTGATAGCTTGTTTTAACATTTCAATAAATGTTATTATTTACTTACAATGTCATTTACAGGTTTAAGATATATATCAGTTTATTTAATTGTTCTTTAGATAATTTTTAAATTTTCAGAAATACATCTGTGTAAATATTTATGACTGATTGTTTCTTAATTTCAATTTATATTTAATAGCTTGTTTTGACTTAACATTTTATTAAATGTTACTAATATTTACTTGCAATGTCATTACTTTACAGGTTTAAGATGCTTAAACATATGGAAGCCCTTTTCCCGCAGTGATGAAAAAAAAAATTGCATCTCATAATCGTGAGATAATCTCTTTAGGAGGTACAAGTTTTTTTTCTCATAAGAGTGGGGGAAATGAGGATCCACAGAATCATAACATATGCTGTTGACATTTTAAAATTGAAAATTCTTACATTTTTGGACTTTGAGTGTGTCTGTTAATAAAAACAAAAAGATGGAATTAAGGACACTTTATTTTGTAATTATTGATTGTATGAAATAAGCAAATATTAGCAAAATTTAAATAGGCAGGTGGATCTCATCCACCTCCGGGGCCCTGCCACCGAGGAGCTTCTTAACCACCTTGGCGACCTTGTCCCCAGAGATTGGAGAGCCCGACCCAGAGTCCTCAGGCTCAGCTTCCTCAACGGAAGGCATGTAGGTGAGATTGAGGAGGTCTTTGAAGTATTCCGCCCACCGGCCCACAACGTCCTGAGTTGAGGTCAGCAGCACACCATCCCCACTATAAACAGTGTTGGTGCTGCACCGCTTCCCCCTCCTGAGACGCCGGATGGTGGACCAGAATCGCCTCGAAGCCGTGCGGAAGTCTTTCTCCATGGCCTCTCCAAACTCCTCCCACACCCGGGATCACCCAAGCCGCATGTCGCTTCGCCCGCCGGTACCTGTCAGCTGCTTCTGGAGTCCCACAGGCCAAAAAGGCCCGATAGGACTCCTTCTTCAGCTTGACAGCATCCCTCACCGAAGGTGTCCACCAACGGGTTCGAGGGTTGCCGCCGCGACAGGCATCAACAACCTTTTGGCCGCAGCTCTGATAAGCCGCCTCGGCTTATCGGAGGTACGGAACATGGTCCACTCAGACTCAATGTCCCCCACCTCCCCCGGAACGTGTTCGAAGTTCTGCCGGAGATGGGAGTTGAAGCTCCATCTCACAGGGGACTCCGCCAGACATTCCCAGCAGACCCTCACTACACGTTTGGGCCTGCCAGGTCTGACCGGCTTCCTCCCCCACCACCGGAGCCAACTCACCACCAGGTAGTGGTCAGTAGACAGCTGCACACCTCTCTTCACCCGAGTGTCCAAGACATACGGCCGCAGATCCGATGAAACGATCACAAAATCGATCATCGAACTGCGGCCTAGGGTGTCCTGGTGCCAAGTGCACATATGGACACCCTTATGCCTGAACATGGTGTTTGTGTTGGACAATCCGTGATGAGCACAGAAGTCCAACAACAGAACACCACTTGAGTTCAGATCGGGGGGCCGTTCCTCCCAACCACGCCCCTCCAGGTCTCACTGTCATTGCCCACGTGAGCATTCAAGTTCCCCAGTAGAACAAGGGAGTCTCCAGGAGGGGCACTCTCCGGTACCCCCTCTGAGGACTCCAAGAAGGGGTAGGTAATCTTAACTATTGTTCGGCCCGTAAACACAAACAACAGTCAGAACCCGTCACCCACCCGTAGGCAGAGCACTTTAACCACTAAAAATATTCTTTATGTCGGTAAACCATTTTCATTCTATATATGCACATAGAAATTCACACTTTGGTGTGATTTTCTTGAAACTTACACCAATTCACACCAAAGAGTGAATTTCTATAAGTTATCACTGCAAAGTCCTTTAATGACAGAATAATAATAAAAAATCTCAGTCCAAGATAGTGATGATTACATGTTTGCATCATTAAGGGTCTGCAGATGGAAATTGGCTTTTTCTATGATCTGGTAAAATGCATCAAATGGTGACATTTATGTTTGAGTTGTACATTGTACCATTTATCGCTATCATTTCAGAAAATAATGCATCAAGAACTTACATGTCCCTCTTAAAGATGGAATTAAACATGGAAAAGTCCTAAAAATTATCAATATTTCAGTTTACAGACTATTTTGTAACGCATAAATCGGTTTGTAATACTGCTTATTTAGTTTCTTATTTCCCCTGACAATAAGGTTGAAGTAGAGCTTAAAACTTGCACATTGTTAGGCTCGCTCCTAAATCCACACTAAAGCCAGGATAGAGAGGTTCACTGAATGTTGTCTGGACTCGGTGCAGTAGCGTGAGCTCGCCAATGCGCGAAACACTGTAGAAGCTCAACTTTCCTTCATTGTACTCAAGGTGCACACCCACTCTACGTGACTGAGCTGGGGGAATCAGACCTTTATGAAGACTGTTGTGCCAAAAAGTGCAACCAGAAGGAGAACAGATGATTTTCCAAGACAGCTTGTTGTGTCCGAAGCAGCTGTCTTTACCCTGCCCTTTCCTTTGTATGCCTTTATATGACACAGCCACCTCAATGATGCCACCATCCCACTCCACCTCCCAGTAGTTGTTTTCTTGAAGGTCGTCTTGGCACAGCGATTGGTAAAAGTGGGAGAATCTGTCAGGGTGATCAGGATGAGCCTGGCCTGTTATTCCCCATGATAGTTCTCTCTTGGTGTTTGCCATGTATAGACACGCATGCACTGTGTGAGGATCCAGCGTAGGATCTGTGAGAGAGGAGAAATTCACTCACTCGTAGGTTGAAACTTTAACACATTTCTGCAGAAATATATTTAACATTCTACTTACATATAAACTTGGCCAGGATGTCTTTTCTTGTTGTTGGTTTGATATGAAGCTTTCTGGGAATATGCATCACTGACAAGAAAAAATAAATAAATTCTCAAACTCAGGAAATGTGCAAATTTAATTAAATTTGCTACAAAATACCCAACTTACTTATATTATCCATAAAATGGCCAAATAATTGTACATTCTGCTTGCCACACATGCTTTTCAATTGGTTGGTTTTTGCAGACACAAACTCTTTCAGAGACACCAGTCCTTCATGTGAACCTGAAAACACAGGGAGGCCACCCACAGCTTGAATATCCTGTAAGAGCCAAACAAATACATAATCCCAACAGTCTGACACTAAACAATTAAAATAAAAAAGAGGAAATGAAACAAAGAAATCACCTTTAGGAACTGAATGGGATCATCTGTCTGTGCAAGCTGGCAGAGCTTATGATCCATTTCCTTCAGTTTATGAACTTCACGCTTCAGTCGTGCTTTGTGACCGTTAGTCCAGTCAACTCCAGCTTTCTCTACCTCTTCAACTTTGCCTCTCATCTCAAGACATTTCTTTTCCAGAAAATGAGCATATAAACGGAGATGTTCGGTACATCGCTGCTCAAAGTTGTCACTTGACTCCCAAGCAGCATCCTTGTGGAAAACAAACACCATTACAGTCGTCATGACTTGCACTCACAGTAAGGTTGGGGGATTTGGGGTAAGGTTAGTCAGAAGCGGATTGGACCAAAACATGCAGTAGGCATTCCATTAACCTTGCAACATCAGAACTTGGAGCTGAGTTTGACGTCACACCTGATTAACAGCATTCCAGTTAACATACTTGGATTTCAACATGGTGTCCATGGTGCTGTTCGCAGCACCTCTTACGAACATTGTTTTAAGCTTTACTTTCCATAAGCATACATCGTATGTTCAGTTAGTAAGTCCTACATTGATTTTATATGCACTCTTATGTGTGTTTTGTGAAATAAACATGTTTCCACCACATCTTACTAATGTTGATGTAAGGAGCGGCTATTAAACTGCAAAGTCAGCCTAGAAGTATTTTGGTAACTATATGCTCCCACGTCCCAGTGAAAAATCTGTCTTCTGAGGGTGTTCCAGTTGATTTATTCAACTGGCAAGTCGAAATGTCACAGTTCAGACTACAACTGAGGCGCATCATTAGTTTGGCAATGTTAAGTTGTAAAAAACTTTGCTCATTTGTCTACTGTAAGGAAGACGAGAACAAAAGTGTCACTCTCCATGTCATTGCAAGATGTACACATATTCTTCACGTGTTGCACAGAGCAAGTGACTCAAGTTAATGTTTTCAGATCCTGGTTCAACACAGGCATACTTAACAATTTGCAGTAACTAAGCATTTGCTTTTACAAGAAGGTTTTGAGCGATCGGCTAAAAAGCCATTTTGTGAAGTTCACATTTCAGGTGTTTTTGCTTATTTACACTTACTCTAATAGATTTTGCTGCTTCCTCTAGCTGTCCTATTTCACACTGCGAAACCCGAACTGCATCTGCAATTTTCTTTCTGGTTCTTTCCAGCTCCTCCTGTTAAAACAGCAAGCAATCAAATTGTAAAGGCATTAAGATAAAAACTGTCACAAAAATATAACTTTCGGTTTTGGATTAATTTAATTACCTGCTTTGCTTTGACTTCTGCCGTGACTTCCACAATGTCATGATTTTTGTGCTGCACCACACAAAGTGGACAAACCAGCTGCTCATCAGTGCGACAGAAAATTTCAAAAAGTCTGTCATGACGGGAGCAGATGCTTTCCTTGATTCTCGTAGAGGCCTGAATCAGCTTGTGCTTCTTCAGTACAGGAAGTTGGAAATGAGGCTGCACATGTGTCTCGCAGAAGGAGGCAAGACACATGAGACAATACATCTCAGCTTTTCGTTTTCTTGCAGTGCAAGAATCACACGGCACATCCCCTGGTAAAGCAACATCACTTTCATCACCAGCAGCACTTTGACTGGGTTTCGTCTTGTGCTCCTCCAACAGATTAGCCAAGACTGTGTTTCTCTGAAGAGCAGGCTTTGGGCTGAAAGTTGTCCGGCACTGAGGACAACTGTATTTCCCTTTGAGGTTTCGTCCTGTGTCCCAGAAAGTGTTTATACATGTCTTACAGAAGCTGTGTCCACAGGCAGTAGTCACAGGTTCGTCCAGCAGCTGCAGACAAATAGAGCAATCCAATAGGTCCAGACTGGAAGCCATTTTCCTCCGATCAAACCTGTTGCTTTCACTTCCATTCACAAAGGAGTGGCCTTTGACCTTGTGATCTAAGAGGGTGGAACTTTTTCTTGTCTTAAAGAGACACACCAAAATTCCAGCAGTATTCAAAAATGCAAATCAAGAAATGCAATATTAGAGAGGAGAAATATTTGCATTTTACTTAAGACTGGATGTATTTATTGCAGAAAATGCTGCTTGTAATCAATTTCTTACAGGCCATCAAATTAATGTACCCTGAATGCCAGTTAAACATAAACACTACTATTCAACTTTAATCATTAATTCACTGAAAATTAGTCGGTTCTTTCTATTACTGAAAGATGCAAAGTATAAATAATAAAAAAATATATATATTAAATGTCAAACATGGTTGCACATAGCTGCTTCTCTGTGAAAGTAAAGATCTCAACTGATCATACTGTTGAGACATGACCAACAGTATACACTGGGTTGGATGTAGTTGAAATGACAGAACGACAGAGAGCAATTGGAAACTATTATCATTCACTGCTGAACAAGTAAAGTATAACACACTTCAGCAGCAAGGTGGTTCAAGGTGCTTTACATAAAAAAAGCAGAACATTGCAAAGTTATAAAAAAATAAAACACCACACAGTCAACAACTGAACATGATGAGTGCCATCACCAAAACCTTACACATAAAATATGTGGGTCAATGTTTCATTTATTGTAGTTCAAAAGAGACAAGAAATTATTTGGTACAAATCTTAACAAAAATCTAGATGAAGATACAGAACAGTAATGAAAGTTAAGCACAGTTTCCATGCAGTTGCAAACCAGGGAAATGTCAGAGGAGAGTAAAGTTCTACATGTCTTCATTGTATCCTGACATTACCGGATCTACACAATATATATATAATTCACGTAAGATTCCCTTATAATTATTGTTCATGTTTTGCTTTTGCATTGAATACAATGGCAGAGTAATCATACTTACATGACTGAAATTATACAGTTTAATTACATTATTTCCCTTTACAGCAAAATATCAGATGCTTAACTTTAACTGAAAACTGTATGTTTTCAGTTAGATTTATGGATCTTGCAACTTGCTTATTTAAATCAAGCAGTTTTACTGCTGCTTGATTATCTTTACTGAAGCCCCTTTGGACACCATAAACCCAGGGTATAAAGGCTGGGAGAAAGTGGTTTGGACTTTATGGAGGAGCACCAGTTGTTCAGAGCAAGACACACTGTAAAAGGACAGTGTTCCAGCTTTATGGTTCAAATACAACCCCATTCTGGGAGAACATGGGTTGGGAATTTTGATTTTCATTTCATTGTGCCAAAAAGTACATCCAGAATTTGCCAGGGAAACACTCCAGGACTGGTCATTGTATCCAAAGCAGCTTTCTTTCATGTTTGGCTCTTTGTAGCACACCGCCACCTCAACTCTGGGCCCCTTCCACTCAACTTCCCAGTAGCAAACGCCAGACAAACCTTCGGCGCACAGCACCTGATCATATTTGGTAAATCTCTCTGTGTGGTAGGGATACGCCTGGGCTTTCTTGGTCCAAATAACTTTGGTGTTTTCCTCGGAGAGCAGCAGGTTCTCGAAAGCTGTGTTGGGATCCAAACTCAAGCTACAGGAATCTTAAATGTCAAAAAAAAAAAAAAATTAAAGATAAAAACAACATTTAGTTTGGTCAACATGGATCCACAAAGGCTATTTTGAAAATGTAACATAAATAACTTACACATGCACAATTCCTGCCTTGTCGTTGGATCTGGAACGGTTTCAACTGAAAACAGAAAAAGACATGACATCGCACAACCACACACTTACATGTAAAAGTGTTATATTCTGTTGTGTTCTTACTGGTATCTGATATTTCCTTAATAGCTGTTGACAAAGTTTCCATTTTGTTCTTCAAGTCTGATATGGCCTTTGTCACACAATCAAAGGATAGGCACTGCTGGAGGTCAAAGTTCAGGCTCACTCTAGGTTCTGTGCCATTAAAAATAGGCTTGCAGTGCTGGAGAAGGACAAAAAGACAAGAACACAGCATCATGCAGTGCTTTTCAAAAGTCGTCGTACCTTTTTCACTTCTTGCATTTCATTACATGCCGAACACAAACCTTAATGAATTTTACTGTATTTTTATGTGATAGATTGACACAAAGTATTGCACGATTGTGAAATAAAAGAGATGTGCGTTTATCTGTTCACCTGCAAAAAGTAAATGTTGTCTTCAGTTGAAGACAGCTTCCTCATTTCGTCCTCTCTCCCCCTCAGGTCTCTAATCTCCTTCTCAAGCTGACTGATGAGCGTTTCAGTTTGACCGGACGCTGCATTTTCCTGATGTTTGATTAGCTCCCGCACAACTGAACGTCTTTTATCTGCCACCGAGACAATTTCAGCGTAGATCTTCTCATTTTGGTCAAGTGCCGCATCTCTGGAAAGCTGAAAGCAGTCGCCACCAAAATATAAACTATACGATCCATTTCAATGGAAATATGTTAAGCCAAGAGGGATAAAGAAAGTCACCTTTAATGCCTTCATTTTCTGTCCCAGCTGCCGCACCTGCTTCACCTTTTCTCCAATTCTTTGCTGATTTCTTTGTTTCTTCTCTCCAAATAGTTTCTAAGAACACATTTAGCGGTCACTTAAACTAATTTAGATGAACAGTATGCAATATTATATGCATTTTTGTAACTAACAGAAGGTTTCATTATCACTGAAACATAGCACATGTGCTAATGATAATAATAATAACTAATATTATTAACAAGAATAATAAACAATGATCTTACTTGTTTCTCCCTTCTGGCTGCTGCTGCTGAGACAGTGTCATGGCCTTTGTGCTCATCCATGACGCAAAGCAGGCAGATGCACTCGTCATCACTGCGACAGTACACTTCGAGCAGCTTGTCGTGCTTAGAGCAGATCTTCTCCTGGATGGAGCCTGACACCTCCACCAGCTTGTGCCTTTGGAAAGCTGCAGACTCATAGTGAGGCTGGACGTGTGTGCCACAGTAGGACGCAAGACACACCAAGCATGTTTTGACAGCCTTCAGTTTCTTCACAGTGCAGAAATCACACTCCACTTCATTTGGTTTAGCTTGCTTTTCACATAGAAGAGTCGTTCTCTCTGGTTCGGCCATTTTCTCGATCAAATCAACCAGTACCGTGTTCTTGTTCAGGACTGGTCTTGAGTTGAAAGTGTGTCTACACTGTGGGCAGCTGCAAACGCCCTTTGCATCCTCCAGGTCCCAGTAGTTGCTTACACAGTCCATGCAGTAGCTGTGGCCGCAAGGAAGAGTCACAGGTTTCTTCATCGCCTCCAGGCAGACGGAGCAGCACAAAGAATACGAAGCTTCACTTTTCGCTGCCATCTTCTTCACTGCATTTGGTAACTTTCACTCTTCTCCCTCCCTCCCCCCCTGCCAACAAATCTAGAAAAACTGGGAAGGGCTGCTGATCAGTAAGTTTCACTTTCTCTGAAATGAAAGTTGGACAGTATGAAAGCCTCTTTCCTCCCTTTATTGAAAAAATAATATTTTTTTCTCATAATTTTGACTAAGCTACATACTAGAAGATACTTTCTGATAATTATGAATTACCTCTCACATAAATTTCATTCAACTACACACAGCCCTCATAAGAACGTATAATTGTAACTGATTATGCCATAAAAATACATATCTTTTTTTATAACTATGAGAAGGTCATAGTTTTCAGAAGCAAGATAAACTATTTTTTATGAAAAAGATAGTTTTACATAATTTTCACGTAGCTGTCTGATAAGAGATATAGTGTATTTTTTTTATTATGACAGCGCTCCATCATTTGTATCTAGTTCCTACATGTCCCAGAAGTAGCTTACACAGCCCACACAGAAGCTGTGACCGCAAGGAAGAGTCCCAGGTTTTTACACCTCGAAGCACACTGCACTAAATAATGTCCACTGTCTCTAATACCAAAAAAACAAAAAAAAAAAACACTTTAAGTGACTCCATTTTTTTTAAACAAACATCAAGTTATGTTAAACAATAGTCATAGAATGTGACAGGGTTGGTTAGGGTGAGATTGGATTTAGTCACAGAATTTATAATTAACATGTTAATTGCAATAGCCCATACCAATACATTTTCTATGGGAAAATGTTCTAAATCCTTAACTTTCTTGGCCATTTTGCTTACTGTCTATTTAGGAGACTCGTATCCCAGAAGATGTTGCTTTAATGTTTTTAATGTAATATTCTTTCCAAACCCAGATTCTGCTTTGTAAAGTAAACCTGTCCCTTGTGCAGCAAAGCTCCCACAAAATATGATCCATGTATTTCACAGTGGAAATTGTGTTTTTATGCTTGTAAGCTTTCATTTTTCCTCATAATTCAAGAGTTGTCAGTAGGGCTAAACTCGTAAACAACAAACAAAATAGAGAGTTTAATCAAACCACAGAGCGTGTTCCAGGTTACCATGGAAACAGCGACGGCTTCCATCGTCCTGTTTACCAGGAAGAGGCGGAGTGTCTTCCTTTCTCTAGTTCTGTTGTTTTTAGGCAGAAGATGGAGCTCCCGGAGACCATCAGAAAGCGCTTAGATGACTTTTCTCGCAATATCTTATTTGACCAGAGTCGAATTGTGACGTTCACCGAAGAAAACGACGGATTCTTGCCTCACGGTAAACCACAAAAAATAATGCGACTAACTTTATAGACGAGTTAGCACAGATGTTAGCATGCCTTGCGTAGCATTATTTTCCTTATTTTGCTAATAAAGTTGATGTTAAATAAAAACAACGAGGATGTGCTGGGGTTTATCCTGGTGTTCGCTGTGCTGTTGTTTTGATCTTTCCAGAGAAACCAGTTCTGTCCAGCCTCCAGCTGCAGATGTCGCTGTATTTTAACATGTGGTTCTTCCCCTGTTGGTGGATCAGTGAAACTGTTATGCTGCATCTCAAGGTATGAAGGAGGGCATTAGCTGCAAACAGTGATCAAAAAGACTCAGAAAGAGATAAACCGACTAAACTGGTGTACGGATATACAAAGTATACATTATATAAATGGCTATATTTAGGATGTAATTAGCCCTCACGCTAAATATACATTTAAAAGAATGCAACATGTTACCAGTCCCCAGTAAACCTGAAATCCCTTTGAATATTATAACTATTATGCTGCTGTTATGTTGCTAAAAAAGCAGCAATCTGATCTTTTGCTAAAATATATATTATTTTGACTTAGACTTGAAGAAGAACCTAATGGTTTCAACTAAATCACACACACACAAAAAAAAAATGGTTTGGCGTTTGTCGTTTCCACCAGTACCCCGCCTTGCCAGAATACTACAAGTTCATCCTTGTGACTATTCTGCTGCTCATGACTCTGATTGAGGCCATCAGACTTTATCTCGGATATGCTGGGAACCTGCAAGAAAAGGTGAGACACTTCTTATTAAAAGCCTGCTAATTGTTGTTAGGGCTGCACAATAGAAAATCTTATGTTGGCAATAATTGGTAAATATTGCAGTGACGATATCAGGTGCAATATGCTCCCATTTTTTTCTTCCGTTTCTCACTTGTGCTTCCATCAATCTGTAACATTCAAGCACTTTGGGCAATGCCGTTTGTGTCCAGTGTGAATATTAGCTGTCGAAAAACTATCAATCTGGCTAAATAATAAATTAAATGAAAAATGTAAGTTTAGAGCATCTTGAATATATTCATCCTATAATTATTGCACTACAAACAGTCCTTTGCGATATAAATATTGCACACACTGATACTGCGATGTATTGTGCAGCCATGATAGTTGCTTGGATCAAAAGTGGATGGTGAAATTCATAATTTTGCTTTTTTCAAAGGTTCCGGAGTTGGCAGGCTTTTGGTTGCTCACCACCCTCCTGCAGCTTCCCCTCATCCTCTTCCAGCTGTTTAATGAAGCCATTCTCATCCAGCCTCTGGAGAGGGGCGTCCACATAGTGCTCATCGTATTTATTCTCATACAGGTATGGGTGTCCGCTTGGTAAAACCGGACTACAGTTTCATGCTAAAACACGTCGTGCTGCATGTTTTCGTGATGTTGGCATCCAGCAGTTGTTACTGAGTGACGTGCATTTTGTTCTCCTCGCTGATCCAGGCTGCCTCCGGGTTTGCAGCGCTGCGGAACATGGTTAGACACACAGGGAGCCAGTTTCATCTCCAACAGTTTGACTGACTTCGGAGGCTCAGACATCCACGTCTGTTCTGGTGTGCAATGAGTCACAAGGACGCCTTCTTTCTGCACATTTCTCAAACACTAAGGGTGATGTAAAAAAAAAAGGACATAACACGTGTCATGTGGTTGATATTTTCATATGATTTATATTTAAATAAAAATATTTATTTTTGTATTTTATTCACATCTGGTTGTATTTTCTTTATGTATTATTGACGGAATTAGTTCTAGGTCCAAAATCCTTCTAATTTTGGTACTGGCATCACCAGTAACTTCGAAAAGCAAAAATATTTAATGAATTCAGGATTAATTTAATATTCTGTTTCCAGGCAGTATTCCTTATCACTCTATGTTAAACAAAGTTCCAGCCATCCATCCGGTTTCCATCCAGTCGTCTATCTGTCCATCATCCATCTGCTCATCATCGGTCGTCATCATCTCATTATTCCATGCATCAATCTGTTATTCCATCAGTCTATGTTTCTATGACAGAGAAACAGACTGATTCTGTTTTTACATTTTTATTCATTTTTCCTTTTGTTTCTGCCCGGGTTCAAATATATTGTTGAATACCTCATTTTCTCTCAAGGGGTTGCCAGTGTTGTGAGACCCCTTGGGTTTGGTCCATGAGAGGTGTAAACGAAGATGCATCCACTGGAAATTAGAGTATTTTGAAGGAGATGTTAGCTAAGAGGCATAGAATTATGTTTTGGTATAAAGTAATAACGAAACAAGGTTAAAAAAAAAATTGTAACTGAATTAAATACAGTGCCAGACATATTTATTGGCAGCCCTGGTAAAAATGTTCAGCATAATTTTCTACCACAAATCTCAAAAGGTTTTCAAACTTTAAATTGGGAACAATCATTCAACGGGGAAAAATGTCATTTTTATAAATAATTGATTTTACATGCGTTATTTCAGCTTTTGCAAAGTGTTGCTCCTGTCCCACTTTATGTTTTACATAACGCACCAACTTCGTTGCAATTGGGGTTGTAAAAACAATTATTTTTTTAACATGGGATTTTGCCCTCGTAAAGAAATGTGGCATAAAAGGTTTTTACTTATCTCTACCAGAGGTACTAATAAATTTGACCGGCACTATAAAGTAAAAAAAAAAAAAATGTTAGGACGAACCTTCAGATGAATGCTTTTGGGTCCCTTCTCTATGGCGGGCTCTGGTTATGTCTGTGACCGATGCGGAGAAACTCTTAGATGGAAAATTACCCGAGACCCACTGTACATGTTTGTCTTTGAAAAGATGGCGATTCCTGGATGCGGAAGCGGATGGCATCGGAGGAATGTGCGGAACAATTCTGACAAACCCAGATGGGGGAAACCTGCCAAAGAGGAGACACACAAACCCCTAAAAACGAACACATTCAACATCCTGTGCTGTTTGAAAACATAACTCCTCTGTATGGCTTACCTGCATGGAGCTACAAAGACACTTGACCCTAAAAGAGCACAAAACCAATTTACTGAATGACTGCAACTGAAAAGCGTGACATTAAACATCCACACATGCCACTGCTACCTTGTTGAGAAGACAAATGTGGCGTACAGCGCGGGGGCTGCATGAGAACAGGAGGACGTGGCGCCGGGACCTTCAGAGAGAGAGGGGGGCAGCTGTATCTACTGCTATCCGCTTCATTACCTGCGAAGCGAGGAAGACGCACGAATCCTTACCACAGAGAACCTTTTCAGACTCCTGAACCATTCTAAAAAGACTTGTTTCATCTGGAGTCTATAAGAAGTAGCAGTACTTAATGGAGGTGTCATGTACGCCGTGGTTTCATACAGATGCTTCAATTTGTGTTGCTTGCATGAGATGCAGTCCTTGTCCTGACTGTCCTCCTAAAACACAATGTATCCTTTGAAATAATTTAACATCGTAAAGGCGGGAGCGAGCAATAGTATCAGAAAGAATAGAAGATAATCGGGTATCAGAGTTTGAGATCTTTGACTTGCCACACTGTTACCTGGCTGACTTCTTCAGAATGACTGGTTAGAGATGAGAGTACACATTCTCCCTTCCGGTCATTCTGCTTTACATACAAAACATACAGCTCTTATTTTCCAAGATTGCACACCTTAGTAATCTGGATACTCCTATCCCACAAACCTGACCTTTCCTCCCTTTTGTCCTCCAACAGGTTTCTCTTGGCTTCTTACTTGATCCATCTTTTCAGGAGAAAGACAGGACTCCTGCAAAAACAGCTTACTGATAACCCGTAAAGGAAGTTATGAACACATTAGCATGTTAAAAGAATACAGCATAATAAGCCTTACAGTACATTTGCTGATCTCCAGAACCTTTGTCAGTGACCTACTCCTCACACTGCTTGGCTGGAGTCTGTCTCTTTCCTTGCGAGTTTTTAAGTTTTTCTTTTTCTTCTTAAAATGAGTTTTCTGAAAGGGAGAGAGAGACAGAGAGAGAGGAGGTGCATGTGTGAGAAATTGATCAAATATGATTCAAACCAAACTTTAATGCCTGTGTGCTGTTGCTCGGCAATTTAAAAATAGAGTTCAGTTCAAATAAATCGAATTTGTTAGGATACCTCTGGAATTCTGTGCTGGTGCAGTAAATGAACTGGAAGTCCGTCTGAATCCGAACTATTAGAGCCACTCGTGCTGAGAAAGCAATGAAAAAAACAACAAAAAAAAACAAGCTAAATGAGAGCAAAATTCACATTTACTAAACCCTTTCCCCGGGTGTTGGCTGCAGTCTAACATAATAAAATTACCTGGTTTCCAGGTCAGACATTGAAAAGCTACCATCGGTATCCAGATTCTTGCTCATTTTCTTCTTGACCTCCTTTTTCAATAAGGTTGACACCTCTACTAAACAGTGAGCCACCTAAAGTAAGAATGAAAAGGGAAAGAAAAAAACTATATTCATTGGTCATTTCAAGTGCCCTTCAGAAGTACACATATCCATTCAACTTCGATTTGGTCTCGATCAGACCCCAAACTTCATCTATGCACTGGGATTTTATGCTATGCACAAACACAAAGCAACCCATGTCTAGTTCAGGTTTTCAAAAGGTTTTCACACACAAAAAAATAGAAAAAGTTTGAAGTACCAACAGAACTCCTTGAAAATATGGTTGTAATATGAACAACAATGTTTAAGAGTTTAAGGGATGTATACACCTTTACAAGGCACAGTTTAAAATTCACATTAGTACATTAGTAGGCCGTGTTTTTACACGAAAGTGTATTTCTGCTTCATTTCTTGCCTTTGTTTGATCAGGGTCGCAGAAGTCCAGCAGGGTGTCACAGAAGTAAAAGCCCATCGACTTAAAATCTCCAGTAGTAAAGTGGGTCCCTTTTCTGTCATCTAAAGTAACAGCAGAAAATACTGCAGAACCTTGTGTGACGTGCACATCTATGAATGCATGAAAACATACAGGGAGACTGTACTTACCCAGAGTGGATCCTCCGAAGGTGGCCTCCATGGTGAAGCTGTTCTTGATGCCCATTCTCCACATGACGACCCGCCCTGTTCCCTCCTTGCTCTTCTGCACCTTGAACCTACAGCTCTTGTAGGAGAACTGAGAGAATGATTTAGGTGTTGATGCTGAATATACTTTCCTCAGATGAATCACAAATACGAAGAAATAGTGTTTGCAGCGTTTAAAGCTTTATCTCCTAAGACTCTGCCGAAACATTCACTGGGTTACCTTATTGCTTGCATTCTTGCTCATCATTAGCGGAAAGACCCTCTCTTGAAACTTTAACAGCTTGCTGTTTCTGTCACATCCATACATGAACACGTTGTGTTTGCGGCTGTGGCCGTGAAAATCACAGTAAAGAACCACTTCTGTTTCAGCCATAAGTCTGCAGAGAGAGAACAGTAAAACAGGAACGGTTCGGAAGAAATTCATAATGGATTGGGCTCAAATGTGTCAGAGCAGCACCATAAAATTCACGCTGGGCTGCAGACCTACTTGCAAGTTCTGTTAGAATTTAATCATGTCTTCTGTGTTGTGTTGAAATGTGTGGAAAAGCTTAAATATATTTCCCCTCATTTCAGAAAGTAAAAATCATTATATTCAGTCATATTAAATAAATTAGAACATATGTCTCACATGGGTTTTGCTTGTCAGATTAAAAATACTTGTTGAAAACAACTTTTAAGCAGATTTTAAACATATTTATCATTACGCCCAGATTTTTGTTTTTAAATATCGCTTTTCTATTGCTGAGATGTAATATTCAAAGTTTATGTCACGTTTTCATTAGCTCCAAGTGGAAAATCATCATAATTAACTGAAATAAATGTTTCCAAACATCCATCTGTGTGTAATTATTTTATATAAAGCGCTTGATTTAATGATAATCGTTCTTAAAATAAATGGGTTTTTCAATAATATTCAATTTTATTAAATGGGTCTGTAGATTAATTTCATTCGGAGTGGAATAATTCAATCCTTTATTTCTTGTCATGTACATGATTATGGCTCAGGAAAACCCAACATTTTGTTTCTTGAATAATTACAATATCCACTTGTGATTAATAAAGGAAGGATATTCTAAACATATTTCCCCCAATGCATTTAATAGTTGGTTGGGGCTCCTTTTGCATTATTACCTTTCGACCATGCTCCTGGTGTGCCAAACACATGGAAAAGAATCCTTCAGCAGCGTTTTATAGTTTCTGTTGAGGTCCCTGCCTGCCAGTGAGCACCTGTAGTTTCCCACCACAACACCATCTGGGTTCAACATTGGCACAACCTGCAATTAAAATAAAACATAAAACATGAAAAAAAAATTAGGACAGAGAAGTTTCAAAGCATTTTAGTAATAACTGGATTACAGCTGACAAAAATAAACTGCGCACCTTGAAAATAAAGTTATCCCTGAGAACCTGAGCATCATCTGAGTCTCCGAGCAGAAAGTCTAAAAATCCCTCCATCATCCAGGATCCGTTGGTTTCCCCTGGATGGACTCGCGCTGTCACCACCACAGCCTTCTTGTTTCTCACCTCGGCCGGGCTGCTCCCTCTGGTTGTGATGGTCATAACATAGACGATGTTCCCTCCGAGACTTTGGCACAGCGTCCGCACGTCGCAGTACGACGCTACTGCTGGATTGGAGGTTATCTGCTTCAGGTAGTACTGCAGCCGTGAATACGTGTAGGGGTAGCAGTGGGCCAGGTAGCACGTGTCTGAGTCATAGGGGAACCGGACAGTCCAGGTGAGCGAGTAGAGGCTGTCGCCGGCGTCATTGGTCTCATTTGCATCCTGCCCAGACACACCATTAAAGTCCATTGAGATTAGTACATAAGATCTGTCCAGATTAGAGCTGTAAAACCTGCATTGCTTGTGGAAAATACTAATTTGTT